TCCTCCTTCTAAAAGTTATACCCCCTCCCCAAACCCTAAAAATGCCATTTTACAACTGTTTACTGTAGTAGAACTATATGCATTTTCCAAATTTTACAAACGCAGAAAACCAGTGCGATGTGGCCGTTATGATTTAAAATGGCTGTTAAAATTTACCGTTACATAAAATTTTTGATGTTGTTTTTCTTCTAGACCCCAGGTTGTGGGAGCCTGAAATTATAGTAGCTTTTAGGCACTAACAAATATTTCATTTCGTTAGAAGATCTTTCCTTTCTTTAGAGATAACTTGAGAGGGGGTGGAGATAAAAAATTTCTTTACATCTCCACACCCCTTTCAAGCTATCGCCTCTTGAAATTTGTAAAATTTGAATTAAAAACGCAGAAAGGTAACTGTACTAACACTTAAAATCGAGCATTATGTTAACCCCTCTTTAAATTAATTTTTGCTTTATTCCAAAAACTGCATAAACATCTTAAATATATGCAATCCTAGAAATAGTTTCGTATATGAATGAAAATACTTTTAATATTGTGGTAGGTATACATCGATTGTTTTAAAAAGCTGTATTTTCACTTTTTGAAGGGAAAAGTGCTACAATACAAACCATTGGTTTGACCAACTTTATTATATTGATGATTGGAGTTTTTTTTGATATTTTAAAAACAAAAAGAATAACAAACATCAGAAATTTAAACTTGTTATAAGATCAATGGTCTGAGAGATAAAAAAAATTAAGTTCTATTTTAATATTTAAATATATATAAAATTCCTTTAACTTGCTGTGGGAAGCTGCAAGCGTTTAAAAAAGTCGCTAAATATGGCTATAAAACTTTCTTTGTTTTTGTTTATATGCAAAAACCAAAATATTTTTCACATCGTTAAATCTTCAATTTTTTTGTATCACGTCAGCTGTTAATGACAACCCAAAAATCTTTGTTACGGCTCCTACAGACACAACTAACAGAAATGCATATTTTGAGATAACGTCTTGAGTAACAGAATATGGGTGAATTTAAGAAATTGTACAAGAATTTAAAGAATTTTTAACCGACGTAGGCTTTTTCAGATTTCGCATTTTGACATTAAAACACAATTAAAAAAATCTTGCTAAAATTCTTAAAAATAAAAAAAACAAACTACTTATTGATTTACATAACTTACGAATTGGTTCAAGGTTATTCAAATAAATTTACTTTAATTTGATTAATTGTGATAAATGGGAACGATAATAATGGCATTTTATAATGAATGTTAAATTAAATTATAGCCTTTTTAATAAATTAAATTATTTACTTATTGTTGTAGAGTGGCGTGCTGCCAACAAAATTATTTAATGATATTTGTCAATAATAATTTTGCAAAAATAATAATTTAAATAAAATTTTACTGAATTCTTTAATATTTTTACTGAAGCGATGTATAATGTTACAAATTCTGATAGACAACATTTTATATTAATTTATATAAGTATAGGAATGATTGATATTAAGGTGTTTTTTTATATTTTTGGAGTAGATTTGTAATAAGCAGTTTAGGTTTTTTATCAACAGAAGTAAAAAACGAGACTGACAATTAAACAGTAAAGGAAGTAAAGCATTTTAATGAAGTTCGTCTGCTAATAATTTTGATTTTCAGAAATAAATTTTTTGATTTGTTTAAATCCTAATCATTTTAATTTTTTTAAATATCTTATTTTTTAAGCACAGATATTGAACGAAGCTATTGAACGGATATTGAACCCAAAATGAAAACCGGCGTTAACTGTTATTTTTTGGCTGAACTTTAATAGAGACCAGTCTATAAGAACTACAACGAACTACAACGAGTAGTTTGTTGCAGTTCGTTGTAGTCTATGCGCGAACTACAACGAGCCACACTCAGCTAGTTACCGTGGATGTTTGGTGGCTCAGAAGTTACAAAAAGAAGAATGAAAAGAATCGATCTAATCGGCTCTTGGATAAACATGAAAGGACCTCAAGAATGATTAGTGCTTTTACATTAACTAAGATAAAAAATGGTGTTACAAACTCACAAGTAGCTTCCAAAATTGCAGAAGATTATATAGATAAAATAGCTAAAAAAGCATCAAAACTAAAGAAATTGACAATAATATAATACAAAAACTTAAAGAAATTGACAGTAGCATAATGCCAATGGGGTAAGACATGCTACTAAGAATTGACGAAATGTCAAGGAACTACTATAGAGGAAAGAACTACTAGAGAGGATATACTAATCCGGAAATGATTTCTGAAAAAATGGCAGTAAATAAAACAAGATTTTGTATGTAGAACGCTAATGATGTTTTAAGTAAAAAACACCAGTTCGCGATTTTTCTTAGAGCCTACACCAAAAGAAAGGATATTTTTAAGGATCTCTTATGTGCGGGTGGAAGTGGATTCTAACTAGGAGGTAACTATAATGCCAAACATGTGAATTGGGATATTGCTATCATTGTACTGGCAGTCCGATTTATTGGCCTATTAATGCCAAAAATCCGGATATTATTGAATTTTTTATAACTAAAAGGAGATCGGAAAATTTTTTGAATTTGGAAAGTGACTTAAATTTGAATTTCGATCACTCTGTTGTCATATTAATCCTTAGTGAAAAAGTAGCTAAAAAACGGAGCGGACCCAGTTTAGTAAATAGGACCATATATTGGGTAGGCTCCAAACATAATATTGGAAATATAAATCTTAATGCTGAACTGCTATAGATCAACAAGATTCTGAGGGAGGGAGTGGATTATATTAAATTGGTACAGAAAGCCGACTGAAAAAAAACAATAATTTCTGGATTCCAACCTGTACCAAGTAATTATCCTAAAAGAATAACTGATTAAATAGTATAAAAAGGAAGGTCTAGACGTAAAAAGCAAGAGTCGCTTCAACTACCCAGATGAGCAAACGATTTTAAATAGAATTTCTAACACATTTAAAAGAAAGATCAAATTTTTACATCAGTATTATGCGAGAATTATATAAAGGGTTTATCGGATTAGATAATAATTAAAGGAACGAATTATTTGTTGTGGAAAGCAACGAAGAGTACTAAGAAACCGATAAAGCGAATCCCCGCACTGAAAAAAACTAATACATCATGGGCAAAAAATAATAGCAATAGAGCTAAACTACATGCTGATATTTTGAATGGAATTTTACCACCAAATGAACTTTTCTAGGATTCTAGCGCTTGTTTAGTAGAAGATGTTTTAATTTCAACCATTACTGCTAATACTGCTGAGATAATAAGAAAATTGTCGAAAAAGACGGACCTGAGGTTTGTTTCTAGTACCAGGAAAGTAGAGGAAGTTATTATAAAAGGAAAACAGGTGAAACCATTGGATGAAACAAAGTCATCTAGACCGATGTCGCTGACACCAAAGATATCAAAACTTTTGAAAAATTGTTATCAATAAGGCTGATGCCGACAACAGAAAATAAGAAATTGATTCTAAACCATCAGTTTGGTTTAAGAATAAAGCATCCAATAACTAACACAATAACAAATATTGTGGAAGAGACGTTAGGAGAAAGACAAATATATTCGACAATATTTTTGGCCGTGGCCCAGGTGTTCGATAAGGCTTTGCAAGTCAGTTTGTCATTTAAACTTGATACCTTGCCGTGGAGTTACTTAAACCATATTTACATCAAACAAGGTAAACAATAAAACAGGACGAGGAGTACTCCACTCTTATTGCCTCAAGTCAGTATTCTGGGTCCTACATTTGCAGACGATACAGCTATATTGGCAGTAGGATCTAATGTTGAAGAATCGATAAATAATTATCGGAACCAAGTAACAATATAAGTAAATTGACAAATAAATGGAAAATAAAGCTAAATTAAAGTAAAAATATACATATAAATTTCACAAGCGAAAATTTAATAAATATGCCACTATTGAATTTGACTTTAGATGTCAAGCTTAAATGGAAAGAACATGTAAAGAAGAAAAGAACAGAGTTAGGAAAAAATATAGAAAAAACTACTGGCTTCCAGGTCGTAGTCGACCAACATACAACAAGGTGTTAATATATAACAAAATGATAAAGCCTATATGGGTATAAGATTTGCAGTTATGGGGTTGTGCCAAGCAAATACACATCAAACAAATACAAATCTTCTAGAACAAGGTCGTTCGTAGTATGGTGGGTCCTCCCTGGTATGTGTGCAATGGCGACGTTCATAGGATCTGGGTGATCGATTTAAGTGACGTCATTTTTCACGGAATCTAGACACAAAAACACCATAGAGCAAAACTAATTGTTAGTCAGTTTGACTAGTTTTAAGATTTTAGTTTTGTTAAAGTTCCCGACAATTTATAGCTTGTCACTATTAACATGTGCCAGCAGTTTGGGTTCACCTATATTTGTTTTTCTATGATTTTTAACACCTACATTAAAAGAAAAAACCTTTTTTTTAGATAACCTTAGAACCTTATAACGGATAGAAACATGAAAGGGAAAGAATTTACTCTAATGCACTAACATTAGAGTAGATTCTTTGAAATATTAGGGATCTTTTAAGACCAAAATAAAAAGTAATCGTAAATAAAGAGCGTTTTTTAAAAATTCAATTAGTATTTTACTAGTATTAGTTTGACTTTAAAAAAAGTATGAATACTCGAATTTTAAAAAATGAAAATTGATTTTGAATCTTGTGATTGTGTATACGTTAATGTAGCACACGTATGTAACCATAAGTGTATCTTATTTATAAGTAAATATTTATAACTTGTTCACCAGAAATTTTTAATAATTTGAAATTCAAAGATCTGGAATTGTTATATTATTATCTTCACTTAAATTAATTAATTATTTGTGTTTTAAAGTCTGTTGATCTTTTTTATTTTTTAATTTAAATTTGTAGTTGGAATTTTATGTCCTTTTTCAATGTTTTTTTTTCATTTTTTTACATAATTCACACATTAAAAATATCTTTCTTTTATTTTGTAAGCTGAAATTTAAAATTTAATATTTGATTTTTTCTTATTTTCAGATTTTATTGTTTTTTTATACATACATATATAATTTTTTACTGTAATTTTAAATTTACAAGTAGTTATACATATTACAATAAACACGTATATTTACAAACATAAAGAACGAATAAAAATGGATTTAAGTGATGTTGAATTAGCAGTTATAATGAATACATGGAAAGTACCAATGGGTGATCCGGAAGGTTCTGGACAAGTTATATTATATAGATTCTTTGAAAAATATCCTCATAACATGGAATATTTTGAAGCATTTAAAGGAAAACCATTGAAAGAAGCTAAGGTTTTATTTTATTTATGGAAATTTTTCATATTTTCATATATTCATTTTCGTATTTCATGTCATAAAATTTTGGAATAAATTTATAAAAAAAAAATGTAATTTAAAAAATTTTAACAACTAAAAGTGTTTGTTCTCATTTACTTTTTGAACATATCGTCTGTGTTTCTCATTCTAAATAAATGTGTATATGTATATTTGAAATGTTAAAAAACACTAAGTTTTTAACGTCATATTGATTTTTAATAAATTCATTTTAAGTGTCAATTTTGAATTTTTTACATTTTTACTTATACATTTTATGTCATGACTTCTAAAATATCATAAAAACCTCACATTACTATTGCGTTATTTAGATTTTAATAATTCTTTCCATAAAATATGTATAATACATATGTATGTACATATAAATATAGGAGGATGCAAAATTTAAGGCACATGCTGGTAGAATTGTTCGAGCCTTTGATAATGCAATTAAAGCAGCTGAGGAACGTGGCAAAGATGCTGTATTAAGTAAAGCTCAATGGGATAGATTAGCTAGTAGCCATTTAAAACGACACATTCCCAAAGACTCATTTATGGTATATACTATTTTACTTTAAATTACTTTCAACACTCATACACGCATATTACACGCATATATGCATATAAATGTAAAATATATGTACTTATATATGTATATGTATACATAAAAAAAACTTAATTTAGTTAATTATTTTTAATTTTACTTATGTTTCTTTTTTTTGATTTCTTTTCATGTTATAGGAATTAAAAGGAATCGTTTTAGAAGTTCTCGCCGAAGTTTGTCATTTAAATGATTTTCAAAGTACAGCTTGGGAAAAGTTACTAAATTATCTGTTTGGTGTTATGCTCGATCAAATGACTAAACTTGAATGAGTAATATTTCATTTTTGTCCAAGAACCAATATATATGTATTTACAAAAATTATGGGAAACAATAATGAGAGAATAAAAATCGCATATCAAAAAGAAAATCTATCAATTTTAAATATGTAGTCAGACAAATTTGGAAGCCTTGGAAAATTCCCTCTGGCCTTTAATATGTTTTTATTAAATTCAACCAAAATGTTTACTTTGTGTTTTATGTTGTTCACTAAAAAAGTTTTTGTCTTTATTTTTTTTTTATTAAAGCGATTGCATTTTTTTCAAATATAAAAATATCAAATTTGTTGCTCCTTTGCAAATTTAGTTGGAAAATTGTAATTTTGTAATACATGTATGTATATATTATGTAAATGTCTAGGTCTGCGTTTGTGTTAAGAAAATTAAAAAAAGGATGTTCACAAAATCAAGAAACCATATTGTGAAAAAATAAACGAAATAAAAGAATATAATAGTTTAAGATAAATATTTTATGTGAAAACGATTAACGGGTTAAAAAATTTTTGAAATTAATTGAAATAAATGCACATATTTCTTAAATGTAAATAAGACAAAGGTTTTTTAATTTAATCATATTTAGTTATCTAAAAGTAGGCATTGGAGCTTTTAAAATCGCTCGTATTACAAAATTGAATTTAAGTGTAAGTGAACTAGTTCGTTTGTTGTATTATTGAATTCTAAAATCTAATTAAAATGTTAGAATTTTAGTATTAAAATTTACAGTGCAGTTAAAGATTTTCTTTTGTTTCTCGTCCTAAGGCGTTTCACCAAGCCTTAAATTATCACCATTAAATTTAGAAAAAATGTTGCTAAATAAACTGATAATTAAATTTTAATTTCATAGATTACATCAAAGTTACCAATCATAGAGCACATTTGAATTTGAAGAGAATGCACCTTCGACAGCTAATTAAATAACAATATGAAATAAAGTAATTAAACCGAATATTAAATTCTCATTAAATACTTACTTAAATTTTCGCTATATTCTAGTAAATTTTTCGAATTAAATTTTGATTAATAATTTCGTAACATATGTACATCAATATTTTTCACAATCTTCTGCACTCTAGATTCACGCATTTTTAGATTGCCGGTTGAACTCCGTAATTTTTGATTATTTAATTAATCATTCCCGTAATTTCATTCCTTGGTAACTATTAAATGACCAAAACCAAATTGGGTGATATATTAATATAATTGATGGATTTATTGGAAGTAAAAGTCAATTTTACTTTCGGTAGTTACCACTAAAATTATTTAGCCATTAAATTTATTTTATATATAATATGTAAATCAATTGATATTTTTTCCATTTGTATTTTTCATTCAACAGGTGAAAAAAATTGGTTTGAAAATGGATATGAGCGATTGCGAAATGGGTGTTGTGATGGCGAGTTGGAAAGTTCTTATGGAGAATCCAGAAGAAACTGGGAAAGCAGTGTTGGGGAAATTTTTTGAAGAGCATCCACAGTATGTAGAATATTTTAATGCTTTCCGGGGAAAAACATTAGCGGAAATAAAAGTAAATTTTCGATTTTTGTGTTTTCATACTTTAATTTTATATATTTTTAGTACATTAACAAAATTTGTTACTTATTAGTTCCACTATGTCCGTCCGTATACCGACTGAAATGATATACATATCAACTTAATCTCATTTTATTTTACTCATTTTTATTACAAAATTGATTTTTTTTGGTTTCGTTATTATATTTTGTTGTTTTTTTTATCTTTTCTTAAAAAACAGGTGAATTATATTATAAAATAGTTTGTCTAATTCACTTTTTGTTTCCATACATTTTTATCCTCCTCAAACGACAATTCGACTTGCGACATAAATTTCTGAAATTAAAAATGTCATATCTGGAGGACTTTATGTAAAATGATACTAGAGAATGGTGTAATGAACTTTTTCTTAACGATTTAAATTGTGTAAAGAAAAATTGTGCTGCTTTGTAAGCTATTGATTTGGTTTGAGTTATTTTCAAAAATTTTAGTTACATGTGTTAAGCTTTTAGTTACTTTTCAAATATTTTCAATAAATTTTCGAAACGAAAAGAAAAGTATAACATTTGTTCTGAGCAAATATTTAACATAGTTAAAATGTTTAACATTAAAAAGGTTTAAGTTGAATAAAAACTTAGTTCGCAGTACAGTTGATCTTTAAAGCCTTGTTTAATAATAATTTACCATATTAAAGTAATTATACAACATCATTTTTATTCACAATGCTTCTAATTTCATTTAGTTTAGAAACATCCTTATAGTACTTTTATTATATATGCATACAGTTTTTAATTAAAAATAGAATATTACATTTTTGTATTCAGCAAGAACCGAAATTTGCCTTTCATGCGGGTAAAATTGTTTATGCATTTGATAATGCAATAAAAGCAGCAGAGGAACGAGGACGTGATGCCATACTTGGTAAAGCATCTTGGGATAAATTAGCAAAGGATCATTTGGAAAGAAAAATTCCGAAACAAGCTTTTAAAGTATGTAACTCTTATGTTTTAATATATTAATTATAAAAACACAAGTATTGTTTTATTAACAAAAGAAAGTATTTCCATTTATAGGATTTACAAACAGTAATGTTGAATGTTATAGCAGATGTCTGCAATTTGAATCAATTCCAAAGAAATGCATGGGAGAAATTATTAAAATATTTATTTGGTATCATAACATCAATTTTAAATTAATTTACTATAATTACGTATATGGTTTTTATGTTTATTTTAAAAAGTGTTCGAGAAAAACCGCACGATGAAATTTAAGGAATTCCAAGGAGTTCATCAACTAAAAAATCATAATTTATAACATAAAACTATACTTTAATGATAGTTGAAAGTAAATGTATCTCTATCAGCTTAATGTAATGATCTAAAAATTTCCTAATTGGTGTTCTGATTTGTGTACAAATTATTATTATAAAAAAATATAAGTGAGTTGATCCAAACAATAAATATACTGGTTTCTCATTAAAAGCGTTTAATTGAAATATTATGAGAGATTGAAAGAAAAAAAATCATTTAGTTTACAAACCTTTTTATGGTTTTGGTTACATTTATTATATGTGCATACAATTTTTAATTAATAGAATATTCAATTTTGTATTCAGAAACGACCAAAATTTACCTTGACAATAACTTCAATAAAGGTGGGTCAAACCACTGGTTTGTATTGTAGCACTTTTCCCTTCAACAAGTGATAATTCTGCTTTTAAATACAGTCTATGTATATTTATCACACTATTAAAATTATATTCGTTCATATACAAAGCTATTTCTAGGATTGCATATGTTTACGATAATGCATACATGCAGTATTTGAAATAAAGCAAAAATTAATATAAAGAGGGGTTAACATAATGCTTGATTTTAAGGGTTAATTGTGTGAGTTACGAAAAATAATTATATTTTTTAATTTCATGGAATTTACCGTTAGCTTCTTGTGTTTATAGAAATTTGAAAAAGGTTGCGGTTTCGGAAATATAAGGTGTCAAAAATTCAAATTTGACGAATTTCAAGAGGTAATAACTTGAGAGGGGGTGGAGATGGAAAAAAATTTTCTTCTAACAAAATAAACTATTTGTTAATGTCTAAAAGCTCCTAAAATTTCAAGCTTCTACAGGCTGGGGTCTAGAAGAAAAATGACATCTAAAATTTGGAAAAAAAGGACTTTAGATAACGGTAAATTTGAACGGCCATTTTGTTTTTCTAAAGTTTAACTATAGTACACCGCGCTAGGGGAAGCCAGTCGCTGCCTTTCTGCATTTGCAAAATTTCAAAAACGCTAATGGTTTCTAATTGCAACAAATAGTTAAAAAAGGCCATTTTTAGATTTTGCAGGGGTATAACTTCTAGAGGGGGGGAGATAGCTAAAAATTTTGTTCTACGGAAATAAGTTTCTAGTAAAGATTTATGTGCACACAATTCAGCTTTCCATCTTCAAGGGTGTAGAAGTTTTGTAAACAGACACACGAACAGACGGACGGACGGACGGACGGACGGACTTTTTTTTCAAAATTTTTTTGGAAAAGTGCTAAAAACAAAATTCCTCACAATAGCTTCCAAAAACAAATTTTCTTCGGAAGCGCTGCTCTTTTATCTAATTCACTTTTCAAATTCCCTAACATAAGATTAAATTAATTTTAGATTAGTGTGGTTGTGATAGATTCTTGGTTATATCGATTTCTAAAATTTATATTTTTAATTACTAATCAAAACAGTAAATATGTGAAAGATTTATAATAATAAATACGAAAAATTAGAACCTGGGCTTAATTAACAATTCCTATACCTAAAAATTTTCATATTAGTATACATAAATAAAACTTATACAGTCAGATTTTAGATTAGATAATGATGTGAAAGGTATTCTGCTTTACTGTTGGCTATCTCGTGGAAGATTATTTAGGATTATTAATTTTGATATAATTAATGCCATGGTTAAACAACTCTAGAAATTACATAAAATTATAATTAAATAAGCAGGTTAGGCAAAATAGTGCTTTAACGTAAAAAATTTAAAATATCCAAAAAAATATTTGTTGGTTCTTATATTATACAAGTTCATCTTTATAAAATATAGAATCATAATATTTATACATCATCCATTTTTGTTTCATTCATTTATCATCAGATTAATTTTGTAATTTATTTCGTTTCAATAAATCTATTTACTCGTATTCATTATAATTTTTCTATATGTAAATATCATCACAATAAGTTATCAAGGGCCTTTTAGAAACTGAACAATTCAGTTATCGAGTGCATTCTACATTATATATATATTATTGTCCAAAAATAGAAATCCAGTTATAGATATTTAATTTATTCATGCCATTTTATTAATTTTATGAATAAATTAATTAAATATGCTATTTTAATTTAATGAAATATATAAATCTGTATATAACATAATGTGTACAAATATTAATAAATTCATTATTTTTGTGTCTGAGCATGGGGTATAATTATAGTGTTATGTATGCATGTCATGAATAATAAATCTTCAATATCGTTATTAACTTGTTGGCTAAAACTTGTTCTTGTTTCCTGTTTAGTTGTATACAAAAATGTATACAAAACAAAACACATTCTTAAATAAAGAGCCAATCTAAGTAATAAATATAAAATGTAGTAGTGTAAATAAGAAAAAACAAAATACAGTGAAATATTTTTCTTTTAATTTTATACAATATAAAAGAAAAAAATTCTATGTTTACCATATTTGCGTCAAACGGTCAAACTATCGTCATGATCATTAGCCTCACAGCCCGAGGTGAGCCTTTGCTTGGTTAACTACTCGTCTCCAATGCTTTTTTTTGCAATGATTCGCGACAGTATTTTGTAAGCAACGTTTAATAGGATAATGCCTCTATAGTTGTCACAATGCGCCTTTCTACCTTTTTTATGTAATGATATAATTATACCCCTCCGCCACCGGCATTTGTTCAGTGTTCCATAATTTAAAGATAAGACGATTTTTCATTTTTGTATGGCTGCCATTATTTCCTCATATGTAGGTACATCAGCCGACGAAAAATTTACTATTTTTTGTCAAGAATCTCACGAATGTTGTTTTCTTCGTGGTCATCATTTAAATTGTACAAATCGTAGAAATGCTCTCTTTAATTGTTGACTATAGCTCTTCCGTCTATAAGTACAGTTCCATTTTTACTTTTTATATTTATTAGTCATGGTTGAAATCCTTTTATCTTTTTTAAACATCTTTTATTTTATTTTGATCAAGCTTTTTTACTATACATTCTGCATTTCCCTTTTTAGCACTTTTCCAAAAAATTTTTGCCATAAGCATTTTTCAAATTTTGCAAACGCAAATAAATAGTGTTGGCTTCTTCTACCGCGGCATACTATAATTAAACTTTAAAAAAACAAAATGGCCGTTCAAATTTATCGTTATTTAAAATACTTTTTTTTTCAAATATTTGATGTGTTTCTTCTAGACTCTAGGTTGTAAAAGTCTGAAATTTTAAAAGCTTTTAGACACTAATAAATGGTTCATTTCTTTAGAAGAAATTTTTTTCCACCCCCACTGCCTTTCAAGTTATCACCTCTCGAAATTTGTAAAATTTGAATTTTTGGCGCCTTAGATTTCCGAAACCGCAAGCTTTTTGTAATTTGTGTAAACTCAGAAAACTAACGGCAATTCCATTAAAATCGAGCATTATGTAAACACTTCTTTAAATTTATTTTTGCTTTATTTCAAAAGACTCTATTATCCTAAATCTTTCATCCTAAATATATGCAATATATAATGAAATAGTTTCGTATATGGATAAAAGTAATTTTAATAGTGTAAAAGGCACATGTCCGAAACTTAGAGATCTTTTGTTTCATTTTCATCATGGTCCCGTAATTATCACTGCCGCAATTGGCTTATCTATACACCTTAGCGTCGAGTATAGAAGACATTTATCTTTTGATCACCAATACATGATCAATCTGATTTATGGTATTTCTGCCTACTATTTTCCAGGTACCTTTGTGAATTATCTTGTGATGGAAATTGGCGCTCATAGTGGGCAAATTCACGCTTTCAGCTAGCTGACACAGTCGAAATCGGTTGAGCGATGTTTCATTATACTGAGAAGTCCTCCCTGCCAATTTTCGCATTAGGATACCCAATAGCGACTATTGTATCATATTTTTTATACCAGCGCAACTGTTTTCTAATTTATTATAAAAGTCATTCTTTGTTATCTCATCAGCATCTTCCGTTGGGGCATATGCTCTTATTATGGTTATATAATAAGAGCATAACTTAACTGTTAATTTACAAATTTTATTACTTATTGGTAGGTAACCCAAATGTATGTCTTTACACTTTTTGTTGACCAAAATCCTATAACAGCATCGATTCTTGTCACTTAAATAATAAAGATCGAAATTTGTTTTTACAATTTTTCCTTGTTTCTCCTATCTAATTTTCTGGAGTCCTACAATGTCGAAACCAAATTTTTTCAGCTCGATAGAGATTTCTAACATCTTCCTTGGTTGAAGAAAAGTTCAAATATTCCATATTCCAAATTTTATATAGTATTTTCTTATATAGTAATTCTTATATAGTATTTATATTATTATTGCCCATATTTAATGCTTGCGTTCTGCTTCCATATGTTTCGTCACAGTTTATCTGGGGCGAGTTCTAATTTTCCGTGACATTTGTAATTTCACTAGGTAAGTTGTTAGCATGATTAGCTAGACTGTAAATTTATATCTCCCACAGTCAGGGTAATCTAGTTATACCCATAATTGTCTATTCGCCAGAGACATTTCTTCAATATATGTATGACGCATCACATCTCTTTACACCCTGCGTCAAACTATGAGAAATCAAAATAACAAAGAAAACTAGAAAAAGTTGGATGTAATTGAAAGAAAAATGAGAAGTCTTTTGCAAAATATTCATACTTTACATAATTTTTTTCTTCGGGTCGAACACAAAATTTTGAAATGAATATAACAATTAAAATTTTTAATTTTTGTTCTCACCCTAAAAGTATGTAAATATTATAGTATACTTTATTCTCTTAATTAAAATAGTTCAATTAAGAGACAATGGTTTTTTTGTTAAAGTTTTCACTATTTCCAGGAAAATGTGCTTATAGTTTGATCCAAATATATTCAAATTATATATCAAAAAGTTGACCGGAAATTAAAATGGAAAAATTTTAATTATTTAACTGTTATATTGAGTAAACAAGAATAAATGTATTAAAATTATTACTTTGTAATTAACACAATTTAATATTTTTTTATTACGCATTTGTCTATACATTAACATTACTTGTATATATAATACATAAATGTTTGTATATATGAGATATGTATTTATGTAAATTATGAGATATACGTTACGTGTAGATTATGATTGTGGTAAGCACAATATTTTCTATACAAATCTTTATACTGTATCACATACTTAC